TTTGATTTATTGTAGAGATGAGGTCTCACTGCCCAGGCAGGTCTCGAACCCGCGGGCTCAGTCAATCCACTCATCTCAGCCTCCCAAAGGCGCGGGATTACAGGCTGAGCCACCGAGCCCGGCCTCAGTTATGTTTTTAGTTCTGCCTTCCTCCTTTCCAGATATAGCTACCAGGCAGAAGGAAGCCTTTATCAATCTGCTAATTCACCCAAAAGGTTCCCAGGACACCTTGGGTTGGAAATTTTCCAGTCAGTGAGTCAACATTGGATGACCAACGAAGTTATATGCTCTTTTGTTAATTATAATTTAATAATGTTTTCACTGAAGAAAATAAGTCTAATTATTTCAACAGTTTTTATGTCTTAATCTCTATTCTGTTATTGTTTAATATTCATTGAGTGTCTGTTCTATACCTCTGTATTAATTACATTTTACATGTTACCTGACCACACAAAAAATTAATAGCCAAGAATTTATGAGGAAATTATTTACTGAATACCTGTTTTGTGAAAGGTGGCATATTAAACACTGACATGCTATAAAAAAGAAATAAAAGGCATGGTGTAATTGTCCAGTGCCTTTTGCATCCCAGAAGCTGAAGAGTTTAAACATAGACACATGAAACATGGGAAGAAGGTGGAATAACACAATAAGTGGATAAACTCAGAGTAACATTGTAGAGAGCCCGTAGTGCCAAAGTGACCTAAGCTAAAGCAGAAATCTGCTAGAAGAAATGCTCTGTATTCTATAGACCCTTTAGGGACCTCATACAAATGATAGAAAGTGTCTGGAAAAAAATCTGTTTCATTTTCCCCTAAACTGGATATAAAGATATGTTGTGAATATTTTGAATGTGTTCTTTGGTAAACTGTATTCAGTAGCTAGCACATACATGTGGTCCAACTGTAAAGCAGAACTGTGGCACAGGTAAGTTTGTTTTTATCCCAGTCAGTCTCCTAGGCCCATCTGGTTTGCCTTGTGCTCCCCACTCACCAAACCCTGAAGGACTACACGTGAGCAGGAATGTGGCATCTCTCCGAGTCAGATAACATCTACTACCTCAAAAATGTGCATTCATGCAAAGCAGTGACTCCAACACAGGCCTACAAGTCTAGGAAAGAAAAGCCCCATGCTCTTTATTATTATTATTATTATTATTGCTGAATGGATAGAAATTGGAACCATTTCCCCTGAAAACTGGAACAAGACAAGGTTGCCCACTTTCACGCCTCCTGTTCAGCATAGTGTTGGAAGTCCTAACTAGAGCAATCAGACAAGAAAAGGAAATCAAGGGTATCCAAACAGGAAAAGAGGAAGTTAAGTTATCCCTCTTTGCAGACAACATGATCCTATACCTTGAAAACCCAAGAGAATCTGTCAAAAACCTCCTTGTACTGATAAAGGACTTAGACTCTTGATTTTTTTTGACTTAGACTCTTGATTCAGACCCCATCAGGAAAGAAATAAGGGTCCACAATGTACTGCTCTTTGAGTGACAATACATGTTGAAATATTCTCTAACAGCATCTTTTGTGTGAAAAGGTTGGACAATGGATGAAAAGTTTCCTCAGATCCAGGAGTGTCCACCAGCAGTTTTGGTAATCATTTTTTCCCATTACTGATTTCCTGTTTGAGTTAAAACACTCCTGTCACTCTTCAGCACCCAAGCTTGTAGTTGCTAATTGATTTTCCACTCTTCTGCACAATGGAGTGACAGGTTTGATGGGCACAATTAGAACCACCTGCTACAAATTACTTATTTCTTTTGTTATCAGGCAACTGTTCCTGGTCTAGGACTTTTAACACTTTGTGGAATAGAGATGGGAAGAAAAACAGATCTTTAGTGTTGAATAACACATTTTTATTTGCTTTATTGATTGTTAGAAAACTTTTTTGAGCCTTGCCACTTTGTTTCCAGACAAAGCATGAATGCAAAACTTGAGTTCCAAAGTTCCAGTGGATAACTGTCTAAATGCATGTATATCTAATCTTGAATCAATGAGCCTTGGAATATTTGATACAAAATAATCTCATGGCATTCAGTTTTATAATTTTTTGTCAAAAGTAATAAATCTTACAATATCTCGTTTTCTCCTAGATTTAAGTGTGCATTGTTTGCAAGCATGTTTACAGTTCTGCTCTTTCCCTCAGTTTGCCATATCTCCCAAAACACTTTTGCAGTTAATATTTTTAATTGTGGTAAAATATACATAACATATACATAAACATAAAATTTACCAATTTAGTCATTTTTAAGCGTGTAGTTCAATGGCATTAAGTACATTAACATTATTGTTCACCCACCACCATCATATATACAGAAAATTTTTCTTTTTTTTAATTTTTAGTTTTAAATATGTGGGGTACAATTCGGGGTTAAGTATAGAAATGATGATTAGGCAGGTACGGGATCTGCCTGGAACTCGGAAGCTAAGCAGAAACTTTTTCATCCTCCCAAATGAAAACTCTTTACCTGTTAAACAAAAACTGCCTGTTCTCCCCTCCTTTTAGCCCCTGACAATTACTACTCTTTTCTATCTCTGAGTTTAACTATTCTAAGAACCTCATATAAGTGGAATTATACAGTATTTGTTTTCCTGTGTCTGATTTATCTCACTTAGCCTGTCACCAAGATCCATCCATGTTGTAACATATGTCAGAATTTCCTTCTTTTTAAAGGCTGATTAATATTCCATTGTATGTGTATGCCACATTTTATCTATTTATCCATCAATAGACATTTGGGTTGCTTCCATCATTTGACTATTGTGAATAATGCTACTAAGAACATGAATGTACAGATATATTGGGAGTCCCTGCTTTCAGTTATTTGGAAGCGAAATTGCTGAATCATATGATAGTTTAGTTTTCAATTTTTTGAGGAACCATCATACTATTTTCCATAGAGGCTGTACCATTTTACACTCCCTCCAACAGTGCATAAGAGTTCCAATTTCTCCACATCCTGAATGTTTGCTATTTTCTGGTTGTTTTTGTTTTGATAATAGCCATCCTACTGGGTGTGTAGTGGTATTTCAATATGGTTGTGATTTGCATTTCATTAGTTGATTAGTGATGTTGAGCATCTTTTCATGTGTTTATTGGCCATCTGTAGATCATCTTTAAGAAAAGTCTATTCAAATCCTTTGCACATTTTTTAGTTGGAGTGTCTGTTTTTTTCTGTTGTTTAGTTGTAGGAGTTCTTTATATATTCTGGGTATTAATCCCTTCTCTGATATATGATTTGCAAATATTTTCTCCCATTTTGTGTCTTGCCTTTTTATTCTGTTGATAGTGTCCTTTGATGTACAAATGTTTTCAATTTTGATGAAGTCCAGTTTATCCATTTCTTATTTTGTTGCCTGAACTTTTGTTGTCATATCCAAGAAATCATGGCCAAAAGGAATTTCATGAGGCTTTTTCTCCATGCTTCCTTTTAAGAGTTTTATAGGGGCAGCTGTTATGTTTAGGTCTTTGAGCTCATTTTATACATGGTGAAAAGTAGGGGCCTAACATTAATATTTTGCAGGTGGATATCCAGTTTTCCCAAGTTGTTTAAAAGACTGCTATTTTTCTTTTGAATAGTTTTGGCACCCTTGTCAGAAATCATTTGACATGTATGCAAGGGTTTGTTTTCAGGGCTCTCTATTCTGCACCATTGGTCTATGTGTTGGTCTTTATGCCAGTCACACTGCTTTGATTATTGTAGCTTTGTAGTAAGTTTTGAAATCAAGAAGTGTGGGACTTCTAACTTTGTTCTTTTTCACAATTGTTTTAGCTATTCAGAGTCCCTTGAAAGTCCATATGTACTTTAGGATGAATTTTTCTGGTTCTACAAAAATCTCATTGAAATTTTGATAGGGATTGTATTGAATGTATAGATCACTTTGGGTAGTATGGGCGTCTTAGCAATATTAAGTCTTCTAAGCTGTTAATACAAGATGTCTTTCCATTTATTTGTAGTCTTTAATTTTATTCAGCGACATTTTCCAGTGTTCAGTGTACTTTCATTTCTTTGGTTAAGTTTATTCCTAAGTTTGTTTGTTTTGGGGAGTGGAATCATTTTCTGAATTGCCTTTTCAAATTTGTTCATTGCTAGTGTACTGAATTAATTTATTTGTTCTAAAAGTTTGTGTGTGTGTGTGTGTGTGTGTGTGTGTGTGTGTGTAAGGTAGTTAACTTTCTTTATAAAAACACATTTAGTTATTATCTTTTTAAAATTATACAATATAAACATCCTCACTGGTACCGGTTCAAGTAAGCCAGAATAATATAGTCTAAAAGTGAAGGCACCCCCTTACCTCACCTTCTTCTTCCTCCACCCTGCCTCTCCCTAAAGGTCACTTCCACTGGCAGTTTGGAATTTGCTCTTCCAGGTTTATTTATGATGTCTATAGTAAGTACATTTTCTAAGTCTATCTTTCTTTTGTAATCTTTTACAAGAAACAATATTCAAATCAACATTTCTAGTTCCTGGGGGAAAGCCACCAGAAACCTCTGATGATTTGTGTCAAGATGTGTGTCTCCCATTTTAAAACTACTGATAGTCTATTTTCATTCTTTGGTAAAGAACAGAGAAAGAAATTGATCATTTTTATATTAGTTCAGGAACAAAGTCAATTATTTGAAAATGGAATGAAAAATATTAACAATTGTGTCATTGGGAGAAATCCAGTTGCTGTTACTTAATTCAAAGCTGTTCATCCCAACCTCCTCATTATATATAAAAGACTACTACTATTTTTTTACTGAAATAGCTCTAATGAAGCTACTTCCAATGTATTACTTTCTTTTTGATCCCTTGTTTTAGGTAATACAAACACAGTCATTATAGTACTGTTGTCGGCTAAGTATGATGTTATTCACAGATGAGAAAAATCTTTTTCAACTACACTGACTAAATCGATGAAGAAATATAATGTTCAATTAAAGATTAAGTATAAAATACCTTCTTTTTGAAGCGTACAGTTTTTGAAGTACAAAATATTTATCCTTAAAGGAAAAAGTTTGTTAATGCATGCTAAAAATGTATTGCTACCTTCAAATTGTATTTTTAAATTAAAATGTAATTAATTTAAAATGAGCAAATTTTTTGTCAGACTTATAAAATTCAAGAAATATTTTTTTGTTTACACTGAACACACACTCTTGATTTCTTTTTTCTTTTCTTTTCTTTTTTTTTTTTTGAGTCAGTGCTCTCTATCACTAGGCGGAGGGCAGTGGCATGATCATGGCTCACCACAACCTCAACCTCCTGGGCTCAGGTGATCCTTCTGCCTCAGCCCCCAGGTAACTGAGACTACAGATGCATGCCATCACACCTTGCTAATTTTTTAGTTTATTGTACAGATGAGGTCTTGCTATGTTGCCTAGGCTGATCTCAAACTCCTGGGCTCAAGGAATCCTCCCACCTCAGCCTCCCAAAGTGCTGGGATTACAGGTGTGAGCCACCAGACCTGGCCCAATTTCTTATCTTTTTTTAAGAAGTTGATTTCTTTCTGATTTTAAGAATTATTCCCCCCAAAAGTTTAATCTTCTAAGTAGGTTTAAATAAGCAAAATTTTTAATTACTTGTTTTCTTTGAAGAATAACAATTTTTATTTTACTGAATTCCAGCATGCTATCCTGGTTCAAATAATAATATGAAAAAATGAACATATAGCTATTTTTGTTTTCTTAAGTCATACCAAAATTTGAATGAAACAACCTCAGTGAAACCAGACAAAAGGCCATATATTATGAAACTCTGGAATGGTCTCCTATGAATAATTCTAAAACACAAGCCAGAAAAAACTTTGAAAGGTCATCTGCTCTATTACTGTGAGCCAGAATTTTCACAACCCTTTTAACGTTTGAAAACAGAGTTACAAAGAATATAAAATGTCCTCCTGTTTCTTTATAAGTTAAAAACAGATACTGAAGAGATTGTATGTAGTTATCCAGACTTAATTTTCCTAGAATGTATGGCTTAGGAGAAAGACATATTTGCTGAAATACTTTATTAACAGTGCCATCTTCTAAATGGGACCAAGAAAACCAGAGTTTTGTTTTGATTTAGCAGTTAGGATTTAATGCAAAAAAGTATTATATGCAACTGCTTAGAGGTATACTTGCCAATTTAAAAATCAGAAGCCTTTATTGTTTTAAGCAATGATAAATGAGGATAAAATATCAAATCAGAGTAGACTAAATAAATCTACAATTACAACTCTACAATTTGCCAGGTGCAGAGGCTTACACCTGCAATCCCAGCACTTTGGGAGGTAGAGGCAAGAGGATTGCCTGAGTTCAGGAGTTTGAGACCAGCCTGAACAACATGGCGAGACCTCATCTTACAATTAAAAAAAAAATAGCCAGGCATGGTGGTGTGCATCTATAGTTCCAGCTACTTGGAAGGCTAAGGCAGAAGGATTACCTGAGCCCAGCATCGATGTGGCCATGAGCGTGCCACTGCACTCCAGTGTGGGTGACAGAGTGAGACTCTGACTCAAAAAAAAAAATCTATAGTTAACAGGGGACAAAAGCAAAATATCATGAATATTGATATCCAAGTTCAAGTTTACAGACAGCATTAATTATTTCCCTGCATTGTCTGATAAATGCCATAGTAGAAGCTAACGGAAGAGCCAGCAACACCCCTGGGTGTAGAACCAGCACAGAAAATAGTGGTCCCAGTCATAGCAATATTTTGCTGGCTTCTAACTCTACAATTTCAAGACCAGGTGAGGGTGATACCCATGCTACTCTACCTCAGAAGAGGTCAAGAATAACAGACTGCATGTTACGAGAGACCAACAGAAGTGTGAGGAACATTACAACCAGCAGATAGGCAATATTTAGTCTTATATTCCTTCTTTTTGAAGCACATTTTTGCAAGGTTAAAAAAAGAATTTCTCTAATTTTAAAGTGTGCTACTTAGGTTATTAATAGAGAACCTGCAGAAAATATTTACTAAAGCCTGCTGAAAATCCATATCCCCTGCAAAGATGAATACCATAGACACCTAAGATCTCTAAATGTTGCTAATTATGTCCATAAGGCACTTTTTACTTATTTTTATTCTTTTTTTCCTCCCCTATTTCCTTTGAGACTCCTCTTTTCTTAAGTGACCCCATTGCTTTTGCTTCCCTTGATAATTAAGGATGCACAGAAAAAAAAAAATCCAAAATTGGATGAAAGCTCTAATGTGCTTTCTTCTTAGGTTTCCCAGGTGATGGCATCAGGCCTTTCCTTTCTCAGCGACTCAGCAGGTCTGACCAGAAGTCACCACTTTTGAAATGTGTCTCCTTTAACCTAATATGTTCTAAAAATAGCTTTCTCAAGACAGTTTCACACATAGCTGAAAAATGCTAGTTAAATCTTAATACATTTTTCTTAGTAGGTGTGCATTTGGAAGCATTTATACAAGTGTTCTAGCTTCTGCTTTTGATGTGTTTATACTGGAAAGGGGGCATTGTCATCAATCAATCATGGATTACCAATTCATTTCGTTGTTTGGGAAATATGTTAGTGGGTATACTGCCTTGGATTTGGTACTAGGTTTTTATATTTCTCTTCAGTGAAAATGCAGATTTGAACATGTCTGAATAAGCCAAGGCGTACCTGTGCTTGTGAACATAATGATTTGGAAGACACAAAATTGCTACTCCAATCCCTGTTCCTTTCTCCCCAGGCAAGCGTGGTGCAGTGGTGAGGGTGGTACATGTGAACTCAGTCTTAATAAATGCTCATTCAGAAAACCTGAGTATCCTTTCTCCTCCCTCCTGCTAAACCCCACTCCATACGCATCATGACATGGTGTGTGGTATGTGGCCTAATTACAAAGTAGGCCACATCTTACACCAAGAAATATATTACTGTCCTTGTGAACTTTCCTACCTGTATCCTGAAACTGAGGCTGGACCCTATCCTTTGAAAGAATTAAGCCCCATCTGTAAGAGTCAAATTCTCCTCACTCATGTATTTCTGGGAATTGCACTGACATTTGACATGTATTAGTAGAGTTCAAGGTCTTTGGGTATTTTTCTGCTCCATGGTCTAAAGAATTAATGAGAAATCCTTACTCTGGGCCATTCTGTGCAACTCATTATGTTTTAATGACATTTTTTATTGCTCAGAAACTTAATATAACCACTTCTTTTTCCCCTTCTTAAGGTTTGAACAAGCTTTTATTACCAGTTTGATCAGCGGTGTGGTAAAAACGAAGGACAGTTATTTTTGGATAGCTCTTCAAGACCAAAATAATACAGGAGAGTACACTTGGAAGGCAACTGGGCAGACCCCGGAGCCAGTGCAGTACACTCACTGGAACGCGTACCAACCCCGTGAGTAGAGTGCATCGCATCACCGACTCTTCCTCACCTCCTGCTCCTGTTTTCTTTGCCCCAGATTTCTTCGGCCCCTTGGTACACCTCCTTTGATTCTTTCTTAATGTTTTCTTAATGCCTGAATCAACTAAAATGATCACCACAGGTTCATTTAGGGGAGGCAACATGTGGCTGGTCAATTTTTTTTTTTAAAGAGCCAAATTCACTTTTATAACAAACCCATTCTCACTATACTGACCTGGTCATTTTAAAAAGTATAATCCATATAAGTCATTTGGCATACAAGGGGGGATCCCCCCCTAAAAAGAAATGGAATTATTTTTTGGAGGGTGGGCCCCTCATAGTACAGGCTTCTCCTGCTAGGCAAGTGTTCTAGGAACCCATCGACATTGGTATACCAGCCAGCATTGTTGTAAGAGGCAGCGTTTGGCTTCAGTGAAATTTTTTTTGGAGATTCTTTCAATCATTTTACCCATTTCATGATGAATGATTACAAGTGCACCTGCCCACACCTTGCTGAGTGTTCAGTAGTTTTTGACCAATAAAACTACTCCGTTCTCCATGGCCTCCGTTCCCCATCCTACCTGTTCATCTGAGCTCACCCTAAGTGACTTTTTTGTTTCCCCGCTGAAAGCATTCCTCAAAGGGAATTGTTTTGCTGATGTGAAAGAGGCCAAACAAAAAGCTACAGAAGCACTAAAGGCATCAAAATTGATGCGTTCAAAAAATATTTTGAGCAGTGGACAAAGCATCTCGATAGGTATCAAACAGAAACTACTTTGAAAGTGACTGAAGTTTAAACATGTAAGAATAAATAAATACACATTTTTATATCCCTTTTAAAGTCTTTCTTCTCATTCTCCCTCACTGTCCAAGAATCTCAGGATCTTACTCAGTCCAGAGTGATCGGTTATACTTCTAAGTACCGTGGATGGACACACCTGTGGTAGACACAATTTCAGAGCTAACAACTCTGTGAGTTCATTCTCATATGCTCAGCTCTGGATCTCAAAGCATGAAACTGTGCCAGGGTAGCCGGGACCAAAAAAGCTGATGACTTCTGCTATAGCTTACACTAGAACCAGTCTCTGTGGAAAAAACTTAAAACCCTTGAATTAAAGGTAGGGTGACAGCCTAGACCCAACACCCTCCTGTACCTCAGGGTGAGCTCCTGTGTAGATGTCTTGATCTCTTTCTTGTCCATGGATTTCAATCAGGGCAACCCCAAGAGACAACAGGCAATAGGTTACCTCTAGGTTTGTATCTTGAGGAAATGTGTTAGAGGACTGAGGCTCTTCCCTCCCTAAAGGTTGTAGACTCTTTATGCAGATTATTCAATCCTTGAAGATCTACATAATCAAGGTAAAGAAACATTGTTTACTAAGTCACACAGGGAGGAATAGTACCTAGTGGCCTCATACAAAAACATAAAAGAGGTCATACAGGTCTTTTTTCTCATAATTATGTAAGTCCAGTCCAGGGTGGATTGCTAATTTCAGCTCTAAACAATGGTTAGCAATGTGCTACTGGTTTTTAAAATTAAACCATTAAGTCATGAATATATTCTCACTATAGATAATGTGGCCAAGAGTCCCATTTACCCCGAAGAGTTTCAATTTATGTCTATGATCCCAAAGCAATTAATAGCAGATACTTTTACTCTAAATTTTCCAGGTTTAGATGATAAGTTATATAGATGCTCTAATTACAGAGAAGTACACTAAGTAAAATGTGGAAGTTCTTCATTACATCTTTCTCTTCACCTCCCTGACATCAACACACTTTCCTTTTCAGAAATAATCACTGCTAACTGGTGAGATCCTGCTGGTGTCTGTCTATGCATTTGCATGCATATATGTAATTTTTGAATAAAAATAGGATTGCAAATGTCTTTCTTTTTATTTTTTTGAGTCCAAATGTCTTTCTTTTTATTTTTTTGAGTCTACTGCTCAGTTTGCTAAAGTGCAGTAACACAATCATGGCTCACCACAGCCTCTACCTCTTGGGCTCAGGCAATGAGTAGCTGAGACTACAGGCACATGACATCACACCTGGCTTACTTTTTATTTATTTATTTATTTTTGTAGAGACTAGATCTTGTTATGTTTCCTATGCTGGTCTCAAACTATCCTCTCACCTTGGCCTCCCTAAGGATTACAGGCATAATCCACCACACCTGGCCTAGAATTGCATCTTTCTGTTATTTACTTTTTTTCATTTAATCTGTCTTGGAGAACTTTCCACATGAATATTTATAAGTCAACATTTTAAACAGCTGCATAGAATTTCATAGTATGTATAACTCACAATTTGCTTTTGAGAGGTATTAGGTAAAATTTATTTTCTTTTCTGCTACAGAAACATTGCAACAAATATCTATATATAGATGCCTTTGTTCATAAGTATGAGCACAATGGCCTAAAGTAGAACTATTACTAAGGCATTATCAGTTTACAACCTTATCTAACTTAAGGGAAGGTTAGTTTTGAAAGAATAAAAGGGTCACTTAGAACACTATGCTAGCAGGGTGGTGGCTCAGCCTGTAATCCCAGCGCTTTGGGAGGCTGAGGTGAGTGGATTGCCTGAGCCCACGGGTTTGAGACCCGCCGGGGCAACTTAGCGAGACCTCATCTCTACAATAAATCAAAAATTAGCCGGGCGTGGTAGCGCGCGCCTGTAGTTCCAGCTACTCGGAAGGCTGAGGCAGAAGGATCGCCGGAGCCCAGCAGGTCGAGGCTGCGGTGGCCGGGAGCGGCCACTGCACTCCACTCTGGGTGACAGAGTGAGACTCCAACTCAAAAACAAAACAAACAGAAAACAAAACAAAAAAAGAACACTATGCTGATTTTGATACCACACATGCATAAAATTTTTCGTACACTCACGCACACTGGGACTCCGCCTCCATCTTCCCAAGAATTTCGCACCACCTTTTTTTTTTTATCCAGTCCAGTTTTGGTGGATAGCATGGTTGGTTCCATGTTTTTGCTATTGTGAGTAGTGCTGCAGCAAACATGCATGTGCAGGTATCTCTTGTGTAGAATGATTTGAGTTCCTTTGGGTATATTCCCAGTAGGGGAATTGCTGGATCATATGGAAGGTCAATGTCTAGTTCTTTCAGAAGTTGCCACACTGTTTTCCATAGAGATTGAACCAGTTTGCACTCCCACCAGCAGTGCAGAAGCAGTTCCTTTTCTCCACATTCTTGCCAGCATCTGTTGTTTTAATAATGATGACCATTCTTATTGGGGTTAGGTGGTATCTCAGTGTGGTTTTGATTTACATTTCTCTGATGATTAGTGAAGCTGAGTGCTTTTTCATATGTCTGCTGGCTGCCCATGTATCTTCTTTTGAGAAGTGTCTATTCATGCTATTTGCCCACTTTTTATTGGGGCTGCTTGCTTTTTTTCCTTTTGGCACATTTGAGTTCCTTGTAGGTCCTGTATGTTAGGACTTTGTCAAATATACTGTTGGCAAATATTTTTTTCCCATTCTGTGGGCTGTCTCCTTACTCTCTTGATGGTTTCTTGTTTTGCAGAAGCTTTTCAGTTTAATGAGGTACCACTTGTCTATCTTATCTCTTATGGCATGAACATCTGGAGTTTTGATCAGAAAGCACTTAGTTTCTGATCAGAAAGCACTTGCTTATTCTGATTCTCATAAGAGTATCTCCTGAATTTTCTAAGATTCTTCTAGTTTGAGGTTTTACTTTTAAGTCTTTGATCCATTTAGAGTTGATTTTTGTGTATGGTGATAGGTAGAGTTATTATATTCTAATAAAAACTTCTCCATGTCTACTATTTGTCTTTTAATTTTTCTTGTGGTATATTTTGTTACACAAAAATTTTAAACTTTTTCATAGTAAAATATGTTTATATTTTTCATTTAGCTTTCAGATTTTTGTATTTTCTGAAGGTCTTCTTCAACTGAATATTTAAAATATATAGTATTATATTTGATTTTAACATTTTTACAGTTTTTTTAAAATGCATAACTTTGCTTGATCTAGAATGTGTAAAAGTGTGTTCCAGGGAATATCTCATTTTAATTTTTCTAGATAATAACCAGTTTTCAACACTATAATCTAATTAAATCCGCCCTTTACCCACTGATTTGAAATACCATAATTAACATAAACTAAATTCTGATTTCTTGTTTCTGTGCCAATAGCACTATAGTAATTCAAGCAATGTGACATTGAAAGAGAAATAGAAATTAAAATAAGATCAATGTAGCTGAAAAGAGATCAGTCAGACAATAATACCATTTATTCTATTGTCCTTTGTTTGGGGTTCTTTTGTAAAAATTATTAATAGATGTTGAATTTTACTCAACACTCTCTTGATTCAGTTGAAACAGTGCTAAGGTTTTCTCCTCTAATATGTTGATGTAACAAATTACTTTATTATAATAAATCATCTTTGTATTTTTGGATAAACTTAGCTTAGTTATAATATATGTTTTTAATACATATTTGAATTAGTTTACTAGTACAAACCTTACATTCTATAATGTACAAAAAGAAAAGCCCTGTAGATTTTGATATAGTTAAAATTCTGATTCAGTAGATCTAAGGTCAAGTCCAAGAATCTGCATTTTTTAAAAAAGCTCTTAGGTAGTACCTATGTTTTAGGTATACAGATCAAACTTTGAAAATATTTTAAAACCACTAATTCAGCTTCTATAATGCTTATAAGACTATTAAGACTTTCTGTTTCTTTCAAGGTACTGCTTGGGTTGCATCCCACAAGATTTCATAGTGTTTAACAATTTTTAAATTTAGAATATATTCTAATTTCCAGTGTGAATATGATATTGACACTTGAATTAATACAAAAAGTTTTTTTTTTAATTCCCCAAAGTACAGGCATGTCTAGTTCTTTTTGTTGTTAACATCTGATTCAATTACATTGGATCAAGAAATATGGTTTGTTTGGTGCCTATCCTCTCAAATTTAAACTTGGTTTTATGGCCTTACATATGATCAATTTTTGTAA